TAAGCTCTAGGCTTGTGGCGGTATTCGAACTCTCGACTACATGACTGGAAACCCGTACCCCTAACCATTAAGCTATTGATCACTTTATTAGTAAACTTCAAGATGGATTAATTAGACTTGGCATCTTAGTGAACTCTTCTCAAAATTAGAAATAAAATCAATTTTAAATATCTTTTCAGGGCGAAGAGGCGACAAAACAACGGAGCGTTTACTGCGTGGACAAAACAACGAATAACGTCATACCAGATTCCTTATGCGACGCGGCCATTAAGCCCATAAGCATTATCAAGTGCGCTGATGTGCCGGCTTGCTAGATGAAACTTTTATGCAAATGAAACGGAAAGGAAAAATATATAAATGAAGTAACAAGGCGTATTTCACAAATAAACGAACGAATTGTTGCAAATCCAATAGAATTGCGACGTAAAGTTGTGTTACAAAAAGTACACAGGTCAAATGTTGACCACAAACAAGATGGAAAGAACGAGAATGGAGCTGAGTCAAGTGAACGAAACGTAAATTGAATGAACTATAAAGTGCGAAGTTTCGGGAGATGTGAATGACAATTTTAACGTGTGAGTGATATTAAGGTTGAGATGTCGTGTGAGATACGTTATTGAATACGTAGCCCATCGAGTAGTTATACTGCCGCGGCCTCAGCAACATCACCACTTACTGCCATATTATATAAGTGAACTCTAGTTTTAACATAGTCTTCGCTTAGTCTTAATACTTATTAATATTTTAAAAATTCTTATAACATCAGTATTAATGTGGTGTATGTATTCCTTCGAAGTAACAACGGGACGTGAAAGTCGTAAGTAGAGTACTGTAAAAAAATTTGGACCAAAAATATATTTTAATTCAAATTCACGTTGCCATAAACACGATTACTGCCAATATGACACTCGTATTATAAGTACATTGTAAGCTATAGGTAATACTAATAAATACTGCACAATTCATGTTTGTACGAATGGATTGGTGCGGATCACAATGGATACGGATAGCGTCAGCGCTGGTGTTCGTTGTGCCTAGTCAGTAGTCACGTGACGCGACCGCCGCACGCCATCTTGCATCTATTCAAAATGTGTCGTAAACATTTTTATGTAACATTTAACCCACTACTTGATTTTGATAAGACTAATATGTATAAAAACCAGTGAAAACGCGTCATTTTACGGAAGATATTTATTTATAACAATGTTTGTCCTCATTTTAACCGACGGAGCATAATTGTAACGCTAGTATTCTCTATTTATCCAGTAATATCTAACTGTAGTTATGTAAAGTTGATTCCTGACGTTTCAGTTCTAAGATTCGTCAGGGAATATTTTCTGTAGATCTTTTGATACACAATTTTAATTTGAGGTACATTAAAACTAACCATTAGTTACGAATGTTATATTTTATTAATTTTACATTTACAAATGCAACACGTATCGCTGTCACTTAATAATTACAATTGTGTATAATTAAGGATCGGAATAAAATCATACGATGTTTTATATTATTTTTCATTTATCCTCATTTTCCTATTGCATAAAACAGCCACAAGGCAGACTAGTGTTAATTCAGGGTTTAAATTTTCTTTGATTCAAAACAAAACCACCCTAAATATAAGTTAATCCAGAGAAATTTTGATACTGGAAAATATTATTAAATAATTAAATAACAATTATAAAGGTATAAAATCGTATCATGCTTTTTACAAACATTGACATGTTTTTATACAGATGTCGACAATGGAAACACACCACACATTCATATCACAATAAATAAAATATCATAATCATATCAAAATATGCTTGTTTATTCCTCGCATGCGAGTACTACATCAATCACAATACGTATTTACGGCCATGGAATAATCGTAAAAAAAATCACTTCACTAAGAAAATTTTTAAAATAGATAAAGTGAAGATAGATCTATGAGATTTTTATCTTTAAATAAATTAAGCTCTCTATTTTATGCTCAATTATGGTAGACCAAAATAGTAGAAGTTGTCTATAAAATGATTAGGCTGTAAAAGTAATGAGTCGTTTTAGAAATCCCATAGCTTACAGAGAAAAGCTAATAAATTTTATGGTTTTCACACGAGGGTAGCCTATTGAGAACAGCAAACAACAGTACTGCTATTTTTTAAAAGTACAAAGATGTACTTTCGCGCTACTATGCATGTCTTACTATTCCACCCTCGTGTGAAACTATATTAAATATTAACAAATACTATATCAGCCTACCATTATTGTGTTAAAATGAGAACTTATTCATCTATATATTTTATATCTTTATAATATTCAGCTGTTGGTATATCAACATTTGTTTGTCATTCCGTCCCGCAGCCAGCCTCCTTTGTAACGAGAGCCTCTGATGACACATCAAAACGAATGCTTTTCTTTTTATTTGGATATTTCTGAAAATAATAAAACAAAGTAAGTAACGACGAATGGCATTCAGTTAATCTGATATCCTTAATGATAGATAAACTGACACACTTACGATTAAGTGATCACTAAAAGAGTAACTTAAAGTACATTTAGTATGAGAAATGTAAGTGACTACCTAAAAAAAAACTACCTAACTCAGTCTTAATAGAAACTTCACATATGTCAATTTTAAATTTTTATAGTCTCTAAGCTGGGGCAGCTGCCCTCAATCCACCCCCTGTGCCTAAACTAAGGTTGTAACGGAACTCCGCTTCCGCATCCGCAAGTGCGGAACGTCCGCAAGAAATATTACTTCTTATCCGCATCCGCTTCCGTTAAAATGGCCTCCGTTACAACCCTAATCTTAACCCACGCTAGGCAATGTAGACATCTTATCCTGAATCTATGATTTGGAAGACTCGGAATTTCGCAAAAAAAGGAACTCAATGCGGCATAACTTAGCAATATGAAAATATTTACGTTTTTTTTCCTATCTAATTTGGAATATTTAAAATTTAATTTCTTCCCTCATTGAGGTCATTCATATCTTAATGACAATTTTTTATAAAAATCCTTACTTTATCTCTAGATTTAGTATCTGTATTTCTGGAACGTTCCTTCTCGAGATCAGAGTGCAGCGACGCCAGCTCCGCGGTCAGCTCAGAGTTCACCGAGTGCAGTTTCTCCACATCTATTAGTAATTCTGCTTTATCTTTCACTGAAATTGAACAAACATTTATATATACTCAATATTAAAAACATAGATAACATTATAACAAGTTAAAAAAAAAACATCAATGTGCATTATTGCTTATTACTTTGAGACATGTACTAAAGTGTATTTACAAATTATTATAGTTTATCTTATTATTGTTATTGTTTTAAATTGTATTTTTGGATGTATGTTTATTACTAGGTATCTCCAGAGTGGCTAACTAGAATTCAATGCAGTTTGATATTCAGAACAGTCTGGAAGAACATAATAAAGAAGAAATAAATCTCACTTTCTCCTTGTCCAAGAATATTACAGAGTTTTTTATTTCTTGACTTCACTGTGTGTAATTCCCGTTTCAGATTGACGAGTTCCTCACGTAACACTGCTATTTCTTGATTCTTCTTCTCCAAAGCATCAGCAAACTGAACTCTTGTTAACACTTCATCAGAAACTGTGTGCTGGTTTTTGATTCTATCATTAATCTTCTCTCTGAGTAACTCATTTTTAGTGTCATCTTTGATTCTTTCGAAAAACTCTGTGTCTTTATTGAGAGATTTTTCTTCTTCAACTATTTCATGATTTTGAATGTCTGCAAGAAAATTCATTTAGAAATGTCTAAAAAACATTGAAGAGATAATGTTTAAAAAAAATGTAACCTAAATAATGAAAGTTATACATATTTTTTAGTTAGTGGAAGATTTTTTTGAAATCAGTTCAGGAGTTTTTAATTGCAAACACTTCAATATTAAATTCACTACAAAGCTGTGTTTAAAATTGATAAAAGCCATGTTCTTAGCATTCATTTAGGTTTTGATTTTAGATTGAATGTAGATTTTATAGTAAAATTTAATAAAGAGCACTCACTTTTAGTTTCTTCTGTTGGGTTGACCATTCCATTAAATTGATCCAAGCTCATAACATTTTTCTTTTTCATTTTTTTATTATTAGTCCGGATTGATTCCATCTTCTTCTCCATTTCTGCATCCTTCTTTAATCTTTTGTACACATCTTTCTTTTCTTCATAATCAAGTTTGGATAAAAGAATTGCCTGAAAATTTCATTTTTGTTATGTCAGATCTCTGACAGGTATTTGTCATTCAATTATTTTTTTAAATATTTTAAGGAAGGTTTAGTTAAATAAAAACAGTATCAATCAAACAGTGTAAGTAAAAGAAATTATTGTTTTAATAAAAATTTAGCAATTCACTGTTTATTTTTTCTTTTTTACCTTAGACAAATAATAGTAATATTAGTAAGTAAAATTTGAATCTTACTTGTTGTAATTCAGTTTCAAAATTACCATCAACAAGTTCCTCATCCTTTTCCTTCCATTGCTCCCACTGCTCCGGTGTCGGACCATTTGCCTTCTGCTTTTTTTTCTTGTTTGCATTCTATTAAAACAATTTAATCTGTTTAAAAAAATATAAAAAATAACATACTACATTTCATTAATGTACAAATTTACTACATGTTATTGAAAAAGATATACAGGTTTTAAATTAACCAAATGCCCATATAAAATTTGTTTACGTATTTATTACTTTAAAGACTATGTTGTTGAAATATTCTTGCAAAAGTATTCATTACGAGTATTCATTAAATTATTTTAATTGCATATAACACTGCTGTGTCAGCAGGAAATTAAAAAAAATCTAAAAAGCTAAATGATAAAAGATAAATTGAACTGGTTACAACGATTCTTTGTCTTCTGTAGGTATTTCGAACTAAAATTATCTTTAATGCTTTATTAGAACTACCAGTACCTGAGACTTGTTGCCATTAGGTTTTGTTTTTTTAGTTACTTCGCACTTTTTATTTTCTACTTTAGTTTTCTTAGGCTTTTGGGCGCAACTCGATGCGGGAAAATCATCATCTTCAATGTTAAGACCAGCGAAACGCGATTGTACAATTAAGGCAGCCATTTTCACTTGAAAGCTAAAACAAAATTCCCAATAAGATTTTTTTACCTAACAAGCCTGAATAGTAAGAAGGAATTTTCAATAATGAATAGACTATATTCATTTTTCTAGTAAAGAAAATCTACGTATACTTTGCATTTTTTGTACCGTAATACATATGTCATTATTGTATGTATATGTCTTAAGTAAACTTACTTTTGATTTGAATTTTTTTGTACAGCAAGCAACTATACGAACAATAGCTGAATGTGAACAACACAAAACAATGTTTTTTAATAAAATCAAAATTTTTAAACCGTACCACCAAAGACAACAATATCGCTCACCAAGGATAACCAAGGACAAAAATAGAATTTTTTGCCACAGATTAACACAATGCAACATAGATAATATTCGAATTAACTAAATTAAAGACAAATACAAGGTTTTCCTAATTTCACGATTATTTAAATAGCCCATAGGATATGTAACAAATGTGTTCTAACCCCGATCATGTTTTTAATTGAATCATCATTTTCGGAAAAGCTTTTTTTGTTTGGACAAAACGTGACGTCAAATAAGTGTAGCAGAATTTAAAAAGAAATAGTTTACACTTTGGTTGATGTCAATCGTCAATGTCATTATGACAGTGACAGAAACACAAATTAAAATTGGCGGTTAAATATTTTTTTAATGTTTTCGTTATAAGTAAATAAATGTTACCGTTAACAATTACTAAAATTGATTAAAAATGAAGTTGGTGTGTCAAGTCGAAGTGGTTAACAGACATCACTGTAATGTAAATATAGGTACAAATAAAAAATACTCAAAATCGACATTAGCATTAGGAAAGGAACCAAAACGAGACAAAGACTTTTTCCTCATTCACTTTTCTTCTGTGAATAAAAGTGGAAACAAGTATAAAATTAAAAATATGAAACAAGTGTTTGTTAAGTGTTTGAATGAAGGAAAAGCTACGCTTAGATTTGAGGAGCCACCTCATGATTTGTGTATCAAAAGTGAAGTAATCCAGCTGAAATGTTTTTTACGATTATTGAAGGCGTGCATAACTGGTGACAAAGACAGTTCCCAATTGAGTAACTTGTCAAACTTATGTGTAGTTTCATCAGATATTGCACCTGTAAAAATGACAATACAATCTAGAAGTGACATACCTGTTAAAGGTTTCCCGAGGACATTAGAATACCTATCCATGACTGATCTAAAACTATGTAACTTCCGTAGAGATATCTTATTATTAAGTAACTTAATGGTGTTAGATTTAAGTAATAATGAAATAGAAAAATTACCTTTAGAGTTTGGTAAGACTTTTTTTTGTACTAATGATTTCATAAGTTATATTTCTATTCTATTATCTATATCTATTTCATTACATAATTTTTACAGGTAGAATGAAAAACCTGAGGGAGTTGTATCTCTCAAAGAATGCTCTGGGAAAAAATGGTGATGTAGACTGGAGATGGTTATTTGGTCCACAAGTAAGTAATGATAAAGATCCTTATAATTTAAAAGTTCTAATTACTAAAAGTAAAACATCAACAAAGTTAAAAATCCAGTTTTTCTTATGCTGTTACCTTTGAAGGTGTTTTTCGTTTTTTTTTTAAATGTTCATCCTTTTTTGTCTTTTCAGATAGTTAAAACATTGAAGTTACTAGATATTAGTGATAATAAAATAAAAATTCTGCCAAAAGCAATTTGGAAATTGGAAAAACTAGTTACATTGAAAATAAACAATAATGAATTTGTGAAATTACCGGCAACCATTGGGAGAGTTCAAACTTTAAGGTAAATTGATTTTAGCACCTATAAAGACTCTATGATTTTTATTTAAATGTCACACTAAAAGGGTAATGTACAACTGGACTTTACCTAATAAGAATATTATTGTCTTTTTCAGATATCTAGACATTTCAAGGAATCAACTAGAATCAGTGCCTTGCAGTTTACTACAATGTCGCTTAGAACATTTAGATCTGTCATCAAATAATTTCCATTTAGTTGCTGATGTAAGAAACAAAAACAATGCAACAAGCAATGGATGGGATCTTTATATTTACAGCCTTACTAATTTAGCATCAAAGGCAGTTTTGAAAAATAAAATTTTTTATGCACCTAATATTATACCACTGACTTTAGTGCGATTTCTCGATGACGCTAAAATGTGTGTTTGTGGAAATCCCGTTGTAAATAATGAGTTTATTATAAGAGAATTTGACCCCAAGGATTATTTCAGAGTTGTTGTTTTTGATAATAATAGAAGTGTGAAATTTGAATGTTACTTTTGTTCAGCTAAATGTTATATTAAATATTGTTAGAGTAATAAAAACATGTTTGTCATAATATAATTTATTTATTTTACAAAGTTGTTTTTCTTATACATACCTTCTTAAAAATATTAACATCTTAGTTTAACTTAAACCTTCTAATTTCCAATTTATATCTTGAATAACTGGAGCTATCCTTACATGAGGCTCTGAAATTAAAAAATACAAAGGTATATATTTTGACCACTTATTATATTGTAACTCTCTCTCGTGTCGGAGGCCAAGACCCACTTTGGGTCGCTGCGCCAACGCAATAAGTAAGTAAGTAAGTATTATAATGTAAAAAATTGAACAATATAATAAGTGTGCAAAAAATTGTGAAGTTAACTAGCTTAACTAGCGTAATTAGTCTTTGAAGTATACTTCATCAGTATGGAATTATTAATAATAGTTCATATTACTAGTGCAGAAAACATGACATAGAGTCAACACATTTTTTATATTTACCGAGGAAGGATAAGCTATCAGCTATAATATTAGATCCTTCGGGTATATTCTCTGCATCTATTGCAGCTTTGGTAGCTTGCAGAACAAGATCATTAGTCCATATTTCTTTAAAGTGATTCTTCATTTCATTTAGTAGATTGTCCAGATTTCTCTAAAATTACAATAAAACAAAACAATATGTAACTAAATTACTTCAACACTACAAAGTAATGGTAAACATCATCAGTAAATTTTTTTTTTAAACAAGTTTTTAACTACAACTAACAAAAAAGTATATCCTATGTTAATCAGTGATAGCATAGCTTTTTAATGGTGATAGAATTTTTGAAATCTGCCCAGTATTTTAAGTTATTGCGATACATACAAAATACAAATCTTTTCTATCTATAATATTAGTAGATGAAGTACCTGTAGTTCTACAGCCATCTTGTCCTTGTTAAAAACATTTAAAGTTATATTAACATCTCTGACTTGCAACCTCAAGTTGAATGAAGATGTGACAAGGTTGTGCAAAGTCATAATAATTGCAACATCTTCATATTGAGAACCCTCTTTCAATGAAGCCACTTTTCTCTGGTGTTTTCTTCTATTCTTACTTGATCGGAAAGATCTCCTAAAATATATAACAATTACAAATAGATGAAGAAAATTGTGTAAATAATCATAGAAATAACATGAACATTTTAGACAGACCAAAAAACTGTTGTTTAATGTGTTTCTTAATAAAAGTAGTGAATAACTACATAAAAATTAAATGAAAGACAAAGCGTTAGAAAGGTAACAATCTATCTAGAAAATGGTGTACTAACACACACACTGTCATTATAATTTTCATGAATTAAATGAGTATTGAACATGATAAATTGCATAAAATAATGAACATACCCTGACCCTGATGATGCTATAGTACTACCCACATCTGAATACAAATCATCGTCTTTATTTGTATTAAATGCATCATACAAGCAATCAGCTTTATTTAATTTATTATCTCTTACTTCTGCCAATCGTGTTCTATGCTTTATAAAATCTTTCAAATTATTTTCAATTAAACCTTTGAGATTCTGATATTCTTCTAGTATTGCAGGTAAAAGACGATAATCTGAAAATGTTTATTGGTTGTAAAAAAAAAGTTTAACATCCTGTGCGCTTATATTTGATCACATGCAAGTGAACTCGCCAGGCGAGTCAGTCTCACTGCAAGTGTTAAATTAACTTGTAATAATAAAATCTTTAATATTACTAACCTTTTAAGTCCAGTCTGTTGTATTTGGAACAAAGCCTTATTGCTGTTTTATACTGACCATTCTCTATGGCATAAATTATTGCAGATTCACCATTTTGTAAATGTTGTTCTAATATAGTTAACGCTTCTTTATGACGTTTTTCGTCTTTCAAAGCGTTCACAAGATACCTGAATGACAAAATATCAATTACAGTATTACAAAGCAAAATATAAATTAGTGTAACCGGACCTATAACTTATACAATAACCTAGGGAAACTGGCGAGACCCAGAAAAAAATTGCATCAATTGAGTAAAAATGTGGTTAAAAATAAATTAAATAGTTGCATATAACAAAATACCTGCTTATTTCTTCCCGCTGTTCATCAGTAAGATATTGCGCTACACTTAAAGCTAATTCCCATTCTAGGGCTTCTTTATAACAATCTACAGCTTTTATATAACTCTTAGATCTTTCATAAACAACACCAGCTTCAACAAAGTCTTTCTTTAACTTCAAATAAAGACCAAAATCATCAGCTATTTCTTTGTAAATATCTTCATTTTCATTAAACAGTGCCAATGCTTCTTTATAAAGGCTGTGATATTTAACAAAAGCTTTCAACTCCTCATATTTATCAGTGCCACATTCAACAAGGTACTTTACCGCCTTAACAAATCTCTTCAGATACTTATTTATTGAAAATTTCTTATAATTTTCATCCATAGCATTCAATTCATTTAACATTGGAATATATTCCTTCGGGTCTTTCTGTGATTTATTTGCAACTAGCAATACTAAATCAAAATCATACATTCCGAGGGCAACATTAAAAAGTTCATCAACATTAACCATGTATAAAAGAAATCTTATTGCCTCATCAGACCCTACTGTTAGCTTATGGTTACTCAATTCTTGTAGTTTTATTTCTTTTATTACCAATAATGCTTGTTCTAAGTCTTCAATTGTATTTTTCTTGATATACGTAGTTAGTAATGGTAGAATTTTGTCACTCCTATCATTTCTTTTGTTTATTTGTGCTTGTATAATATTACATATCTTTTTGATTTTCATATCACTTTCATTGTTAATGTTATTTTTATAACTGCTTTTATACATAGTTTTAGTGACATCAGAGTTTTCTAAATCTGATAGGAAGAGACAGAGCCAGGATGTGTTTTTAATTGAATCCAAGAATTTATCAATATTGTTAAGGAACAATGTAGGATTATGGTCATGTATTAAATTTAAATTGATTCTTTGCTTTCTCATTAAATTAAATGCTTTTTCATAATCAAGTGTATCAAGTTGTTCTCCAATTATCTTCAAAGACAATGGACGGGGTTGAATTGTTTCTAGATTACCTCTAGGCATTTGAAATATTGTGTTTGTCGCATTTGGTACTGATATCACTAATTTGGCACCCCTTTCAATTTTTCGCTTATAAACTTGCGATGAATCATTTTTCTGATATTCTGTAATAGCTTCAATACCAGTTTCCGATAGCTCAGTGCAAAGAAGATAGTGTTGCAATGTTGTTATAAGAAGGAAACTTGTATGTACAAAATATGAACTAATATTGTTTAGTACACTTACATTGTCAATGTAAAAGATTCCTTTCTGTGATAGACCGAGAAAGTGTAGCTTATTTTGTATTAATATAATATCAAATTGACTACAGGATGTTTTGAAAGAAATATCCTGGATGTTAACATTTCCGGAGGTGTATTTCATTATGTCACCAGAATTTAGTTGGAGAAACACAGTTGAAGAATCAATTGGATCATCATGGAGACGCACAGCTGGAGAAGGTAAAGATACAATATGTCTTTGTGATAGCACTTCATTGCTTATATCATATTCAATCAAATTGTAACAATTTAATTTGTCAACTTGTATAGCAATTATTGTATTGTAATTTACCCAGAACCAATTGTAAACTTGGAATGGAAAATTGCACACATCTTTAGTGATAGTCTTCACAGTTTTATATTGTAAAGGGAACTTTTGTGTTTGTTCGAAAAATATTAATTTTTCTTCTGTCGTTACAAAGAAAGCATTTGCATTAGGATTTTCAGTATTTTGTTTATGAGGTGGTGCAAAATGTACTGAATTTATATCAGAATCCAATTCTAATACGAGACTGGCCATAGGTGGCGGAACTACAGTCTGTCTGAAACCTGTCAGTAATAATTTATGCCCATCAATAACAGCAACCATGGCATCATCTTCACTATTCTTTCCTCGACTATGACTGATTGTCCAAATCCAAGAATAAATATAATGTTTACCATTCTGTAAAATTATATGTAATTTTTTATTACTTGCAACATTAAAGTCATTGTCCCAAAAGATTTGATCAATTCTTTCAGTGCCAGTAAATATTAAACTCTGTTTCTGATACCAATGGTAATTGCTTGCTGTAAAGAGAAGTAGCTTTTGTGTATTGTCTTCTAAGTCTTTGCAACTCAAAGTTAATATTTCTGAGTCAGGACTCCAATAGAGATCTTCCACAACAGTCTTTGAATTAACTGGAATGTTGAATTCTCCGTGTTTTAAACCATTCTTTTCAAAGAATGCTACAATATATTTATCATTGAGCTTTTGTGTTGTAGCTATCAGATTCCCTGATGGACGCCAAGTCAAATTAGATTCAAGGCCTGGTTGTCTTTCACTTGTGTACTGTAAGTTTCCTTCTCTATCATATACTTTAAATCTCCTGAGACCATTCATTGCAAAACCAACTGCAAATAAATTTCCATCACCCCGCCATGTAATTTTAGCAGATGAATCTATACTTTCATCAGGAAATTCCAATTTCTGTTTAGCGGCTTGCTTTCCAACTGATCCATGAAATTGTGTTTCTTTTTTCCCCCAGCCCACAGTTATAAATTCCTTCTTACCAAAATCATCACTCAACAATTCCAGCTCAGATATTGGATCAAATGTACATGACATTGTTATCATTTTCAAATCTTTAGTGACTAAAACTAGTATGTCTTGGTCTGGACTCCACTCCATTGCCTGAAAATACAAGTAAATATTGTAATGACTGTTGCAAAAAACTGTATCTTTATCCGTAATAAAATTTGGTCAAACATAAAATAAGTTTAGAGGACATTTATACTTGGAAAAAGCTAAAACGTAAACAGTATTTACCATCAATCCATTATCAAAAACTCCCACTAGTTCACAATTACATCCAGATTCGTCAACTGTGATTAGCTCTCCATTTGCTAAAGCAATGCACACCTGATTTGATAATGAGATATAAGTTATATTCACAGGTATATTCTCAGAGTCTGTGATTTCAGATATATCTTTGGTCCAATTAATAGCTCCGAATTCATCAATATTTGATACTTGTAGGTTATGTGTGACGGCAAAAAATTTAACTTTATTTTCGCCATCGTAATTGTAACACAAATGGAACTTTTCTTTTGAGTTTAAGTTAATATCTCTCGCATTTACTTCCCAAAGTTCTAAATTCTTCATAACTGTTTATTTTTGGTGAAATAAAAAATATTGAACAATGCTGTATAAATGTCAAAAATGTAAATATTCTGCTTCAAAGAGCAGACGACTTCTTTATGTCACTATTTAACGAGAAAAGGCCAAAGATTATGTACGTCAATTAATGGTAATTTCTGTCAAAATCGATTGTATGACTGCAGCGCTTGAATTGATTTTTAGAGATATTTCATTTACAAGAAAAAGCAAAATTAAATTATTTGGAATTTAAGGGTTCCGTTAATTGACAAATATTCAGACATTTATCAAATTGTATAGAGATGAAAATAGAAAATAGTGGTATAGAAAAATTAATACAAAGTTAAAATAAAACAAAATATGTAAATTAATCTTACTATCAAAATTCTATTTAGATTTTATTATTTCATACAAACTCATTCTATTTAAACATCAGGATAATAAGTACGTTCAAACTTCTTTTTAGACCTTGGATATTCCCTGAGAGCTTTAGGAATATAAGGTGGTAAATGTTCATTCAATCGCCGTTTATACGGATTGATATCGCGTTCAAAGAACCGCCTCTTCGCTTCAAAGAATCTGGTATTATGTTCAATTTTGTAAATTCTTTCCCATAAATATATTTCTGGCATCAACTTATGTCTAGGTCTATTTGAAACAATATGTTTGTATGTAGACTCCAGCCAGCAGCGCTTATTATCATCTTCAATATCAGCAATGAGTTGCTCATCTTTACCCAAGTATGGTTTCATGTCATGTTCCCGTTCTTCTGGAGTATTCAAGTAAAACTGAACTAACATTTTTAAGACATCTTCATTCATGCCTTTCACTTGACCATTTTCTATAGTATCATACAACTGTAGAGGTGTTGTACCAAAGCATATATTGTGCTTTGGATTCTCATCCATTTGTTCATTATGCATAGAGATGGTATTCATTTGATACACATAGAATGACCATAATTTGGCATTAGTTATAACAGTTTGAGTAACAAGTGGGTATGTTATATCATTGTAAGTGGTGAAGCCTTGATAATTAGCTTGAGCTAGAAGCCAACCGAAACTAGCTTTCAAGGCTTGTGAATGTAAGGCGTTTATATTATCTTCATGTCCATAAGTTTCCTTTCTACTTAATATATGATCTCTGCCATGATAAGATAATAAGCCAAATTCATCATAGTCACCAGGCCAATACCCTGTAACAGCAACACAGACATTATATGTAAATTCACAAAAAAATATAGTTAAATCATAAAAAGACAGTTTATTTCAAATGTTCTCAATACCTGGGATATTAGTGCCGTGCCTGTGTTCTATGGAATAGCCAATACTTTCAGGTACATAAGTGAATTTAGGGACTTTAAAATCTGGGTTTGTTGCCTCCTCATATGGCAGAATAGGCTTCAGGGGCAACTGACTTCTTACAGCTAGATGTGGTGTTCCTGCAAATATATAAACTGTCATTTCTGTTTCACAAAAAAATAACAACTTTTTACACAAGAAACTTACCAATATACTGGACTGGTCTATCAATGTTTTCATCAAGCCTATCATGCATCCAATTGAACCGTTTTCTCCATTGGATTACACTTTGAGGTACATCAACACCACCAACAAACCAGAATGCTTCATGTCTGGGTTCATAATCTATCTACAAAAATATTGTGATTTTAAAATAGCAAGAGATTCTGAGCTATGATGGAAGATGTTAAAATTTGTTTCTGTACATATTTAGTAACAAAAATTATATAATCATCATCTGCCCTAGCTTATCCTAATTCCATAGTGTCACACCGGGTTTTATCTTCCAAATAACTCTATCATCTGTCATCATTGCCTTCTTTATCATGTCACCTTTCACACAATTCATCAATCTCTCTCTAGGTCTACCTCTACCATTGTACCTTTCCACACTCATAACTAACATTCTTCACATGCAATTCTTCCCTCCTCATAACATGCCCATGCTATTTTAACTATAATTATTTTATATTGACATAACACTGTAGTTTTCTTCCTTTGTTGAAATGATAGATATGCTTACTTGTGCAGAAAAGATATGTGGCAATTTATCAGCAAGTTTGTTACAGATAACTCTGTTTATCTGCCTTACTATATTTTTTGTGATATTCTCTTCTTTCAATTGCTCTTCAGATTTCTCTTGAGAATTGTTATGAATGTACCTAAAAGCATTCATTATTTAAGACTTCGTTATTAACTGCATAAGTGAGAGACAAAGAGGAATAATTCAATGTTTTCTTTAGAAATGTATCCCACATTTGCATTGCATTGCATTGTTGCAGAAATAGCGAAAAAAAGGTGTGAAATCAGGTATTAGTAAAGGTTTATCTAAACTGTATTATGTCTCTCTGGGTTAAATTAATTTAAAATTTTGTCCCAAAATATTCAGAAACTTAAAATAATCTCAAAGAATAAAAAAAAGACAATAATTACTTGACACTTTCAGATTCAACAGCGATTATATCTTCAATTATTGATTTTGTTTCCTTTACAACTTGTTCTGCTAACGGATTTGTCTCAGAATACACATCCGGTAAGGAATTCACAGGTTTAAAATGTGTCCTGGTGTAACACTGAACCAATGGTAAAGCATTATATGGTACTCTATTTTCATTTAACATAACGCATTTCCATCCATAATACCGCGGCATGTTTAGTGCAATTTGCTTTTCTTCGACGGTATTCAAGTTTTTTATTTTCTCGTGAACGGATTGTCTCTCCCGCAATTTTCTTCCTTGAAGCGACATATCCAATATCGGGGGATACACGGGTGTCTCCGTATATTCATTTTCGTCAGGTAGTGCTGCATGAGAATATCTTCTAGTCCATAATTGTAATTTTGATATATTTCTATTTAATTTTGATAAATGCATTTTGTAATTGATAACTTTATTAGTAAAATAACATCGTATAAACACAGCTCGACGACAAAATTATTTTAGGTTATATCCAACTGACAGTGACAGTCAGAGTCAATAATGTCATTTCATAAAGTTTAAAGAGTTGTATAAACAATTCTTTCATGCTTTTCAAATCAGTAAAATAAAGTAAAAAGATGTACAAAATAATGAGTCCTATACAATAAGGATTTCGTTGCAAATTAATAACACCTAACAAGGTATTAAAAATTATCTTATTTAGTTCATTTAAAAATAGGTATAGTATTTAGGGATCGATTTGTTGTAAATCGTTTCTGAACGTCCCTAGCCGGCTGATGCAAGAGCACAAAAGTGATTTGAGTTCGCCACCTGCCAAAATATTATAACCAAGTTTTGTAAAGATCCAGTAAAATTGTCGTAAATATGGATGACGATATGATTTTCGATCCTTCTTTAAAGAAGAAAAAGAAAAAGAAGACTGGTTTCGACATGGATGCGGCTTTGGCTAGTGAACAAGGTGAAACCACATCTGTTGAAGCGCCCGTCGAGTCGGGTGACGTCGACGTGCCCGAGGACGAAAATCTTGATTTAGATAATTTTGGTAAGAAAAAGAAGAAAAAAAAGAAGA